GATCAACACCAGATAAAAGCTGAACTTCAAAAATAAAAATGTGCAACGGCGGTCGGGATTGCTTCTTTGAAAAAAATTAGTTTTTTTGAGGGATCTGTTTGGCTTCAAAAGGAATTTTTTTTTTTAAAGTGTCCTCTTTATATTTGAAGTAAGTTTGTTTATCATTTACTCTTAGCATTGGAATTTTTAATAGAACTTTAGAAAATTTCCTTTTTAATTTGTGACTAAAAAGTATAGTATCTTTTGAATAATAATAGTAATATTAATTTCACAAGTTTTGTTCCCGAAAGGTCGTAAAATTAACAATACTGATCACGGGAAAAATAATGATTTAAATTATGTAAACAAAAAAAATTTTGTAAACTTATTTTGGAATACCATATTGAGGAGCGAAAGTGCTCTTCGATTCTGCTAACTTAACACTAACAGGGTAACAGTGTATATCGCATGTGATAATCTAAAAATATTTTCTTTTTCTCTTCATCAGCACCTTCTCACTATTCGAACGAAAGAAATTGGTTTGGCGCGAGAATATTTTCATGGTGATTTTTTTTTTTTTTTTAAATTGATCTTAAAAACAATCCTGTAAAAGTAAAGATGAAGAACACTTGATAAAAAGCGTCAGGCAAAAAATAAAAAAAAAAAAAAAAACAGCTAAAAATGACAAATATGATTTACGCGAATGGCAAGAGTAACTTTCGGAGACATCTGTCGTGAGAAAGAGAGCAAAGATTTCTCTACAGACCACCACCATTTAAGCTGGAGTCCAAGAAAATGAGTGAAGCATCCGACCTATTTTTTTTTTTTATTTATTTAAAAAAAGAAAAAAAAAAAGGTTTATACCCCAACCCCTATTTTTTTTTCCTTCTTGAAAACTGTCCTACTTTTTGCTAGCGTAAGAAGAGAAAGAAACAATAAAATAGGGTAACGAGCAGATGATATACTGAGTTCAATCTTCAGTTCTTCACTGAGCAAGTATCTACGGCGCTAGCGCGTTCAGTCTTTCACTTTTTTATGGAATTGGTAACTAAATAGAAAACTAAATGTCCTCTATTACAATGCTATTGAGCTGCATCATTTGTCTAAAATCATTACTGCCATTAATTTTCAAAATAAAAATAAAACATTGTCTCTTTTTTTCTGAAACAGTAGTTTCTAAACCATGACTTATTTTTAAAATAAGTCATATATATGGAAAAGGTCTACATAGGTCTTAAAAGAAAAAAGAAAAGATGTACAGTGTAACCCGGATATAAGAGAGTTGTTGGGACCGGAGAAGGTCTCTTACATCCGGGTTTGGTCTATTATATATACATTAACACAGGCTCTAATTTGGGACCAGAGAAAATCTCTTATATCCGGGTTTCTCTTATATCCGGGTTACACTGTATAACTGAAAATATAAAACAAAACAATAAAACATTTTAAAATAAAAACAACAGTAGGATAATAGATAAAAAAAAGAGTTTCTTATGAGAGAGTCAGGTAAAAAATATAGAATCAGGAATTTTTTGAATTTAATATCTGTTTAATCCACTTCCTCGATTTTAATATGTAACGGCGGCTTTACTTCTAGCAAGAAAAAAAAGTAGATATGACAAAATAACAAGTGGAGGTATAACGTGGTAAAAGTAAAAAATAGTTTTTATTCTCCGTGATCTACAAAGATTGTTTGCTCGTTCCGGAGTATCGTATATCAGTCGTGAAAGACTGTGAGTTTGTTCGCAGTATAACACAAGGTAGCAGTAAAGATAAACACGTGGAGAAAATCAACATTCATATGTAGTCGAGTGGGATAGACTTGTGGAAGAAAATCAATTGCGCATGAAGTAGAGAGAGATGGGCTCGTGGGAGAAATATTCTACGAATTATCGCATTGCCGTATTCAACAGTTAGTCTCTGGTGCTGATTTTGTCGCTGTCCAAATACATTACTGTTGACGGAAGCGCCTTAGTGTCATTTCTGAAGGCCTGGGAAGTCGTTTTAAGCTTGCTTGCCGTGATGGCCCGTCGCTAAAGCCAGCCAGGTCGGATCTGCCTTCATGAGTTGGCTTTATAGTGATTCAGTGGCTCAGAAACGGCTGCTGCACAAACCACGTGGGCCTCGTTATGATTGGCCAGAAAAGATTGTTTATGCCCCTGTTATTTTGGGGCGGTATTCCGGAAGTGGATGCACGGGGCCGAACGAAATTAAGATCTGTTTTCGCCATATGAGCTGTGTTTGTCGAAGTGGGCACTTCCGTTTGAGTTAAAGAATTCGAGTTCCGACGGCGTACGACAAATAACTGATTTATACCCACCTACTTATTTTTTCGTGTCTTGCTTAGTGAGGACATCATAATCGTGGCCTTGTACCAGACTAAGTTACACTTAGTAAATCTGATGAAGCAAAAATACAAAACAAACTGAGTAGACTCCTACCAGAAACAGTATCCAACTTACCCCTCTAAATAGACAAGGACAAATAAAGTGTTGCTTGTTTAATTTTGCTACATCTTCACGTAAATAATCGTCATCGAATGAATGTTTTTATTATGATGACTGGTATTTATTCATACAAAAAGTACAAATTGTGGCACGAGGCCAATAAAGGGGAGGGGTAGAGGCTGGTCAACACTAACTATCTTATACCTAGCTAATCAGATTCGCGACCCATTCGTACATTACATTTTACCCATTCACCAAAAGAACTCGTCCATCACCAAACAATCCTTCAACCACCATAATACCACGTGCTCTCAAGGGAGACCTACCAAAATCGCGCCCCATGCCATAAAAATTTTATTATGATGACTGATGAGTAAGAATAACTTCTTTTAGTAAACAGATCAATGTCTGGTTGAGTTGTGAATGGCATAAGTTAAAGCTAGCGTGAATCTAACACCGGCCTCTTTATGTACATTTAAATTGGCTCTGTGAATTGGCTCAACTGTTTTAGTCTTTTAGAAATGCTAATATTTTTATGCTTAAGACTGGGTCATCTTTATGTTCGGTAAGGCTGATTGATTTTACAAACATGGCAAACCTTCAAGATCTGTCTATATTTCTGAAATGCGGTATTGTAATTATTTACACTATTTACAATGATCGAACTGTTATCCTCATCTTTGTTGCAATATTCACGACGTTTCGGACGTTGTACGCGCCAGCGTTCTTCAAGTAATTGGAATTTCGAATACCTCTTCCGGATATCTCAGTTATTTGCCTTTAACACAACTCTCCAAGTTTTTTGGGGTCAAGTCACTGGATTACCAACACTTTTATCCTCAAGGACATATGGCACAGTTGATAAAAGCGTTGGTAATCCAGTAACTTGACCCAAGTTGTGAATTCTGGCTACAGCAGAGGTGAACAAAAAAGTTGGAGAGTTGAGTTAAAGGGAAATAACTGGTACTGAGATGTGGAACTAGAACAATCTACCCCGGTGGACGAAATAAAGAGTTCGGTTCGAAATTCATATCACCTGAAGAAGGCCGGAGCGTACAACAGCCGAAACGTCGTGAATATGTCAACAAAGATGAGGATAACAGTTCGATCATTGTAAATAGTGTAAATAATGTCAGGCACTGTTGGGTTATTTAAAGTCATTTTTTTTTTGTATTAATCATACAGTTAGGAACGATATCACTACACAGCTTTAATAGGTAAGTCAAACTACTTTCGCTAACCATTATCCCATACGAAAACGCACTCATTTTTTTTTAACAAAAGTTTATTTAAATGTGCTTTAGAACAATGATTCTTAATGTAAACACTAACTCCCCCTAGTGGGTGCTATAAACTTTCAACGGCGTGTAAATATTCAGGAGATCTTAATAATGGATATAATTTTAACAGGGCAGTAAGATGATTTAACTTGTTGATTGGTATAAGCTACAATATTTTATAAACACACTAGCAGTAGAGCCCGGCGTTGTCCGGGGATGAAACAGTAAGACATAGATTAAATATCGACCATCATAAAGACTGAAAAATAAAATTGACAAAGATTATTGTTTAAGGTTGACGGACACGCAGGTCTTAATTAGTTTTTTTTTTTTTTTTTTTTTTTTACGAATTGGTCAAACTCAAACAAAAACATTGTTTCAATCGTTATGAGTCTCTACCGATTGAATAGAATTTTATTATAAACAATTGTCTCGTAAATGGAATTTTTAAAGCATTCTGAATGTAAAAATAAAGAAAAAAGTGTGCAAGACAGTAAGAAACACTACCTGCCAAAAAAAAAAGTGAAATTTTGTTGAAATCAGTTGAAAAATGTAGGAAATCCGATCTCATATATAAACGAACACACACACACACACACACACACACACACACACACACAACCTGGGTTTTATAATAAGTATAACTCGATATGAGTTGTCCCCCCTTTCGTTCTCGTGATGCCTCTTAATCGTGTTTTCAAATTGATTCCGTGCAAAAACAATTGTTTTTCCAATTTTTGGCGCTGTCAGAACCACCGCAAGGTAATTTTACGTAGTCCTGTGAAGTTTTGTTGAAATCGGTTTAAAAGTGTAGGAAATCCGATCCAATATATAAACGTACAGACACACACACACACACACACACACGCACACACAACCTGGGTTTTATAATAAGTATGATTTGTTTATCTTTTTGCCTATATATTTACATCTTTATTTTAAATAGCTGCAATTGCAATATGTGTAGAGAGCAAAAAACATGCAAGCTAAAGTCCGTCAGTTTCTATGGTCTGATCCGGTGATTGTCGCTTGGCTGATTCAGTTACAGCTTACTTCCGGTGATTGTAGCTGCTATAACGCAACAAAACATAAGCACGTGACATTAACTATGTTGCAACAACTCTGCTACATTTGACTAGTATAATATTAACGTTACTAGTGCAATGCTAGTTAGTTCACGTTTTTTCCCAGGGGTAATTTGCGCGTAAATAAATATAACGACTTGAAATCGAACTCAGCTCTTCGATTTGTCATTCTGAGTCGCAGTCCATTATACCACCCGCACGCCCTCAAGCTTACAGCAACCGGTATTCCCTAGCGATCACCCATCTAAGTATTAAACCGATTCGACGTTGCTTAACTTCGGTGATCGGACGAGGACCGGCGTTTCACTGTGAGATGGTCGTAAGCAAAAAGTCAAATAATATGGAAGAAACGGGCAAGTGATTAAGGCAAGTGGGTATTATTAATTGATAAGAGTTCTCTTCTTTAAGCATGACAAGCAGAATGAAAACAATCTATCCTTGTGAATTGAACAAAGAGTTCAGTTGAAAATTCCGAGAAAGTTACCGAGTACGACAACAGACACCGGAAGAAGACCGGATGGTACAACTGTCGAAACGTCGTGACTGTAAGAACCAATGAGCACCCAGAGCCGAATAGTAATATTGATAGATACAATATTGTCAAACAACATCAAAATTTTTGTTCTTATTTCTTTCATATTCAGTTGCTTTTCATATTCATTCAGTCACTTTATGGTTGTTAGTAGACAAATAGTAACGTTATTTTAATTAATTTATTAGATGAAGCATCGCCAGTCATTATTAAATATTACGCATATTTCTGTAGGGTTGCTAAAGGTGATTGTTTATGAATTCTCATGTCCTTTGGGGAGATTGTATCTCCTATATTAATAATCACCAAGTGACATTAAATTTTTACATTGGCCATACATGTACCACACACTCTCGTAGTTTGACTTGTCACTTGTCGAAACTTAGCGCAATTCGGGCACATATTGATCAGCGTATCACAAACAACCAAAATACTATTAACAAAAGACAAATTTTAATAATTAACATCAAAATATCATACAAGACTGATTCTAAAGAAAACCATGAAATTTTAGAAACAACTCGAATTAAATAAAATATCTTTCCCTACAAGTGATGGCATATTGACGTGTATATAATTTTTTTAAATCACGTAAAGATGTTCTTTTTCGTTTAACCATTAAATATGACGTCACTTTAAACCGATTCTAATTCCAGTGATCTAAAAATGCTAGGATTTAGTTAAAAATCTTAATCCACCATACTGATAATACCCAGTTCTTGACAATGATTGTGATAGTCGAAAGTACTTGAATATAAGAAAAAAACATGAACTTTGAGCAATTTATTCATAACTTCAATCCCGATATATAACGTGTCATTAGGAAATAAGGAAGATATATAAGATCATTGTAAAAGTTCGTGCCCAATTTTAATTGTTTTTAATTTTCTAATCGGACACGAACTTTTGCAATGATCTAATAATAAAAGGTTTAATAGACAGACATTGTCGGTGGAATTTGATAAAAATTTTTTGAATGAATACTTGCTGTTTTACTACCTTACACACACACACACAGACACACGCAAAAACACACACATACAGACGCGCACGCACGCGCATACACAAATTATGTAATACTTTTGTAGATTTTTTATTTCGTTTATTTTTTTTTTATTTCTACGTTTTAGCGTAAGGAATAAAGTTATTAGCATTAGGTTATGGAATTTTAATTTAGTCTCTTTGGTCATGATGTGGTTGTAGGTAGCGCAGAAGGAATTTATTTTCATGTCTACATTTGGGAATGAGTCCTTATCTTTCATTTAGGAATTTGTCTTGTTATGGAATCATAACTGTCACTATTTTCTTTAGACAAAGGTTACTTTGATTTGAGTTGTTGTTGTAAGCTGGTACTGTTTTTCTTCTTATTTTTGATGTGTGTTTTGTTTTTGTTTTTGAGTTTCCATATATACTTTGATATGCTAAATGTATGTATACGTGAATGTGCGTGTGTGTAAAGTGTTAAATTTTTTATCTTCAACGAAACCATGAAAAGAAAATAAACGTTATTGGTTGGATATTATTTCACTTTTTGTATGATTGAAATAAAGTATATCCTATTATTTTATCTCTCTTGTGTAATTTCTTTTAGGTTATTTGACACGGGATATGTTCTGTCGTTGATCTCTCAATGTCTCTTCAGATCAGGTTAAAAAAAAAAAGGCTTGCCTGAATCTGTCATTCTGACCTTGGATCAAATTCTGATCGTCGTGCGATTTTTAGATTTGTTCACATAGAAAAAAAAATCAAAGCTTAACAGCCATTTCCTATAAGGGTTCTAGGGAACGTAGTGCATATTGATAGAATTTTAGGGCACGTTTTATTTCATAGCTCTTTTTTATCTAGTAATGTTAGCAAGTTTGCATTAATTTGTAGGAGAGCCACAGAAGAAAAAGAAAGAAATTTCATAGTTAAGAGTAGGTGAAGCTAGAAAACGTAGTTGCAAAGAAGGCCGTGGAATTCAATGAGAAACAGAAATTATGCCAACTAAGATATGAACAAGAGGCAACGCTACACGTCTGGACATTCGGAGTCGGACTTATAATAATTATCGTGCTCATTTCCCCACTGGATTAAAAGGAGTAGGGTAAAAAATATCGATATTATAAAGAGAATTAAAAGAGGACCCTTGAACATAAAATATTAATATTTTAAAGAAAATTGCCAGTCATAACCTTTTTTTTTATAAATTATTCTTGTTTTTTAATTGTTAACTGTATGTTTAGTTAGACAGACAGACAGACAGACAGATAGATAGATAGATAGATAGATAGATAGATAGATAGATAGATAGATAGATCAAAGAATACAAATGAAGAATTTCTCATTTTATAATTATTTTTATCCTCTGCAGGTAACGTCCTGAATTAGTTATTTGATGGATGTTTACATTGTTTTAATAATTAGTACGCATCACCAGAAGGGTGGAAAGCATTTGACAGGGTCTAACAATATTGAAGGTGCCTTCGCCCGTGGTAGAAGCACAATGGGGATCCTTTGGGAAAAAAAATTATATTGTAAGACTTAAGGAGGACGCTTTAATTATTATTTTAAAGAAGAAATGATTTTAAAAAAATCGCCTGTCATTACCTTTTTAGAAATTCTTCTAGTCTTTTTTATTGTTCTTAACTGTATGTTCCCATACACAAACACGCACAAACACAATATATATATATATATATATATATATATGTGTGTGTGTGTGTGTGTGTGTGTGTGTGTGTGTGTGTGTGTGTGTGTGTGTGTGTGTGTGTGTAGATAAATTATGTCTTTAGCAGTGATTACAAAAATAATGAGCAGTTGGAAATGGAGCATATGTTTCCCACATATATAAACAGTGCCTTTTTCTTGGGAAAGAGAGTGGAGGTGTTTTCTATCTGGTTCTCCATTCGGCATTAAATGGCCCATGAAGAGTTGATATGCCATTAAAAAAAAACAAATCAAATCTATCCGCTTTTCCATGGATTTTCATTCAGAGCTCTACTCTTCTTAGGAAACCCAGTCTGTCTTGATATTAACTGCCTAAGTAAAAGTGATTGTTTCGTCGCAGGTGGAATATATATATCCGAGCACACCCGTAAGCTAGAGTGTTTAGTCAATCCCCGTTGAAGACGCCTGATCAGACACATTTGTATTTGTTCAACACAGAGCCTACTTGCGGTTTATACTAAACTATGCAGAGCGTACCTTAGTTACAGTTTCCGAGAGAGAAAGGGCGCACCACCTGGCGTAATCAACAGTTGAACAAGTCTAGTGTGCTCAATCTCTCGGTCACGATGACTTGTGAATTCGTGCTACCGCAACCATCGAAGGCCCTCGTCTATCCAATTTCATTCACCAGGCTAGGGTCGACTCTTCAGGCACTTTCCAAAGGTTCCCTGCACGCTGTAATCGCCTCCCCCCAGAAATTATGCCAACCAAGATATGAACAAGAGGCAAAAAAGCCACCTTCCTGACAAATCGACTAGGGTCAGACTCAAACTGTGTGTGTGTGTGTGTGCGTGTGTGTGTGTGTGTGGCTTTAGAACGATAGTTAAGAAGCTACTCTATGAGACCAGTTAGTATATAGTGAGTTCTTGTTTCCTTGTCTTCTCTTCAGTTGTGATCTTGTACGATACTAAATCATGCTTAGTTATTTTAGATATTTGTAATTTTTGGTGGACACATTATGTTTGTTTAACGACATATTAACTCCTTATAGGTTATTTAATGTCGGAATTTAATTTTCTTGCCAGTTTTGAAATAATAAATATATGTCATTCAGCTTTCACAATTGAATACATGGCTTTTGTACTTATACATGTTTGTGTAGACATAATAGCTAGAGGCTGTGATGTGTGTGTTTTATGTTCTAGTTTTTTTAAAGATATATTTTGAAATACAGTTTGAATTAAGAAATTGTAGAATATTATATGGATTAATGTCATCAAAGATTTCTTTCATGTTGGGTGTTTGGTTTTGCTCAGCAGCACATCAAACTCCATGGACTATTCAATACCGAAATCCAAACACCTTGAACGTAATTGCGTGCCTTCGACTACAGATAAAATGTATTGTTTGTCATTTTGCTATAAATAGGTATTGTTGGTAATTTTATTTTATTGAAAAATGTATGCTAGTATTTTTTTACTATAAAAATGTATCTTTTATACTTTCATAATGTTTTGCTTTTGTTTTGGTGTTCACAATTTACCCAAAGCTGAGAGCCTAATAGGTACTACCAAACCGGGGTTGGGTGGACCCGGGAACAACAACAATGTGGACCACGCTCCGCAAAACGTCCAATCTCCGGATGTAGTTTATCGTCCTACACAGGACTATGGAGGACTAGTCTTCTGAGAAACAACAAAAATCCATTATATCAATTGCTGTGAAAACTGGTCTGAATAAATAAAAAAAAAACCGGGACATCGGGAAACGTCTTCCTTTAAATAACCCCGCTTCGCCTTTATCAGTGAGAGTATGCCCACTCAAAATCAAAAACTCAAGTCGGTTGATTCAACTACTGTCCCGCCTTCCGAATGTCAAATAAAGTACACACACACGCAGACACATTGTAAATTTGATGAGTGGAGGCAAAAGTAGCAAGTTTGCCTTCAGCGTCAGGTGTTCGTGTTCGATTCTGAAAGAGATCAATGTTCAGGTGTCACTTCATGTGGTAAGTTCTTTCTCCAACACTCGGAGAAGTAGTAATTGGTGCATTTACGTACTTATAAAATGCGATATTGCAATCAGCGTTAACTTCAAATGATAAGATAATTTAACAAAAAATTGTCAGTCAGATTCACACGA